TCGACATAAATTTGAGATAGAAGAAAATTTCAAGAAACCGAAGATTATAATATAAGTTTCTCGACCGTATTCTAATCTATTTTATAAATAATCAACAATTATAGTTATTATAAATGAGAAAAGAAAAGACTTGCAAAGCCGTCAGAGGTTGATTTAGGATAAATAAATATATAATGTGTATTTGTAAATTAAAGGAAAAGAAAAGAAAGAAATCTTTAGAAAGAAAAACGAATGATAATTTATTGAATATACGTCTCTGAAGAAAAAAGGAAGACAAATAAAAATAAAAAGCAACTTAATGCACTAATCATGTATATTTTAATCTAAATTAAAATCAATAATTAATTTTAACAACATATTTCACGAAATTCACAACTTTTTATCTGTACATTTCATCAATTTTTATAAAAAAATTTTACTAAAAATCTAATTTTAACCCACATCAAACAAGGCTAAATGAGATTTCAATTTCCTTTTTACAAACAAAAATAGATTAAGGTTACGAACGTAATTAGAAAGATTAATACCGGTTTGGTATTGATTAAAATCATATTTTAATCTAAATTAAAGTCAAACAATCAATATTAACAATATATTTCATTGGTCACACAACTTTTCAACCGCACATTCCATGAACTTTTATTAAAATCTACTAAATAATGGCATCATCAACGAAAATTGAAATTAATATATTGTCGGGAAGCATTTTTCTATCATTTCACATTCAGTTGTTTTAAAAATGTTACAAATTTTCGTTATTACGCTAACTAGCTAGGTTTGACAATGAGCAAGAAAAATAACACCGATAACATAATATTTATAGGATCCTTGTAGAAAACATAATATTTATGGGATCCTTGTAGAAAACATAATATTTATGGGATCCTTGTGGAAAATACTTACACAAATTAACATGCATAATAGGACATGATTAAGCAATATATATGTATATCAATCTTGCTACATTGTCAAACAATTTTACCACTTTCTTTGACAGAATGCCATATGTCATTTTAACAACAATCATGCTAAATGTATATAATCATTCACACAATCTTTTACACCCCCCTCACATGGAGGAGGGTCCCACACTTAATAAAATATTCGCGCACACTATTCATGTGACACAGGTGTATGTACACTTGATGTACAAACAGCTTTATCCTTTTATCAATGACCGTTTAAAAAATAATCAACACTATCATCCAATCACTTATTATCACACCTCATTCTATCATTCAATATGTTAAAAACATATGGCAAAGTAGATTAATTCTATATATAATTATCGGTCACTTCCATTTATGTCATTAGGAGTATCACCACCATCGCCTCCGTTAGAACTGCTACCCCACTGGCCGTAGTACTGTCTGGGTATGTTGTGATGATTGTCAATACTGCCGGTGGCATCAGGATGTCCTGCCGCCGCGCCAACCCTACTCAATTTCTCTACAGCAATTCCCTGCAGCTCGTCGACAT